TTTAAGAATTTCAAGTAATTGAAATTCATCTCTTTATTTTTTTTTTCCATAAGTTTCAAAATTTTACAATAATTAAATCATATTACAAATGCATTGTTTTAAAAATCAAGAGGATAATTTTGAAAAAAGACAGATTTTTTTGTTGAAAATTGTCTTAGTCTCCATTCAATATAAAATAAATCCCATTTTATCTTAAAATTGATAAATCTACATAAAGCGTGTAATTTTATGCCTACAATTTTTTTTACAGTAACTAAAAAAATAATAATTTTAAAATCTTCTGCATTAACATTACTTATAATAATAATAATAATAATAATAATAATAATGATATTTTTTACAGTGACTAAAAAATAATAATAATTTTGAAATCTTCTATACTCAAAATTTCAGGTACGTTAGTATCGTCATAATCTTCAGCATCATGTCAATATTTATTTTATATATACTAGGTAAATTTTCTTTCAAAAACTTTATAATGTATTTATTTAGGCTTATAATATTTTATCATGCCATATTCAGAAAACATCTTTCATACAAATATAAACTTTAATATTTTTAGATATATTTTCTTTACACAATAGTTTAGAAAAGTTGTAGGTGACTTCATATCTTTTAATAATAATATAGAAAATTTTAGATCATTTTACATATGTTAATACAATATTTTAGGAGTTTTTAATTGTTTAAATATACAAATTTTATGTTCTTTTGAACAAACTAATTTTATATCGTTTATAATAAACTGATATACCGTAAATTATATGACATGTTAACCCCACATTGTTAATTTATAATTATTATTTAATCTCATTTACCTTCATCTTTAATTTATAATATTTTTTCCTTGCTCTTTTAAGCTAGGAATCACTTCTTTCATTGGGTGACTCGAACTCGATACCTATTTATAATTATTATTTAAAATTTTTTTACCTGTGCATCGCACGAGATATGCACTAGTTTGAATAAAATGTGTTACTTAAATAAACAATTTAAAAATTCAAATGTTTAAATTAATTGATAAACAATTTATAAATCGCTATTTTATTTAATTTTATTTAAAATAATTTTAAATATAGCAAAATTTATTCAGAAAATCGTATCGATCCTACTAGTTCAACCGACTGGTGTTGACGCATTCAACAACAAATATTTTATTCAAGTGAACTGGACTAATTATAAACTGGTTCTCGGTCCATCCGGTTGGACTGTGTCCAACACGGTTTAATTTTAAAACGATGGGTAAATTTTGATTAATTTATTTGTATATTTAATTTATAACACAATCGTAATATTGTTTTTCCGTGCATCGCATGGGCCACGCACTAGTGTTTAATATATGCACTGACCGGAATTTTTTTTTTTTATATAAAAAAGATATATTTTCTTTAGTTCTATAATAAAAATAATTTGGAAATAGTCATCTGATACAACTTATTTTGACAATAATTCATTTAAATTAATATTTTATTATAAGTACAAATTCATACTAAGCATGGTGCATTAAACATCCAATCCTTTTAATATCTTGATAAGAATATATTCTATTTATTTTTTTCGATGAATAATATCTTTTATTTTTAAAACTAGTTAAATCAATAATTTGATTATTGATTAGTCACAAAGAACAAAATTTAAAACATTTTAGAAGTGAATTTTAGTGGAAAACATATTCTCATAGGTATATTATGAAATGCATGTAATTTCAAGAAATTTTCTTAGGTAACTTACATTACAATAAATAAGATATAAAATTTAAGTTAGTAAGTATTTTATTATTTTAAATATTATAAAAATAAGTCTAAATATCCATGAATTGCCATATAAAATTACGTAACATACAAACAACAAATATACTCGTGAAACAATAAACTTCTAGCTATACACTTGAAAAAATTTGCATTTACATATGTACATTGGTTTGTTTACACATATTGGTTTGTTTTGTGTAAAAGAACATTAGCCGATCACTTTGTCGATCACTTTGTCGACGAGAATGATCCAAATTTCAAACACTCCGTCTCCATGCTCGATTAATAAATGATCCAGTTTTGATTGCAGAACGAGCTCATGAAAATTCGACTCGACTTGTTTAATAAATCTAAATTTTAAAGAATTGTCCGCTAACATATTCGATTCTTTTATTCGTTCGAAGCATATAAAAAAAGTAAAAAAAAAATAAACAAATTATTTGCAAACAAGTTCGACTTGGCTCGCTTATTAAATACGTTTGATTTTTTTTTTTTCCGAAACGATTAATGCATTAGAAAACAAGCTTACAATGTATATAATACAGAGCTTATATACATACTACCCTTGCTCATGAAAGCACAAAAGCAAGTATAAATGGACCAAAAGATCCCAGTAACCCAAAACAAGAACAAACACAACAGCAAAAAGACTAATAAAAAAAATAAAAAAAATCAAACAGCGAAACACCCCACGACAATCACAATCAAAAGAAGGAGACATCAGCGGAGAGCAACATCCCAAAAACGCGAAAGAAGCCACCCGAAAAACTGCACTGCTGACACAAAGTCGGCCTACAGGGGGATCTGCAAAAAACCACAACCAACCAAACAACATTCCCAACTGATTACAGCAAAAACAGAGAGACTAACAATTGAGCGAGTTTAACTGCTCGAACTCCAGCCATTCACTACGAGCTCCTCTAGCTATTTCAGTTTCGCTTTTCCAAATTTTGTTACACACCAACAATTACGCGTTTTCCATAGCCACCATAAAATATAAGTAGAAAGACTTATACGATCAATGATATTGGCCACAGATTTCGAGAGACATAGTTCCTGCCACCACGCGTTAAATGACATAGTGGGATTCTGCACTCCATTCTATTCTAGCCCCGCGATTTTCGATACTGCCACTGCTCGATTGCATTGAAAGAAGATGTGTTCCATCGTTTCCTCAGAATCTCTGCAAAAACGCAACAAATGGTGTCAACTGCTCCTACCCGGGCCTTGAGTTGGTCATTCTTAGAAATTTGTACCAACATCGCCAAATAAAATTTTTTATTTTTGGTTTAATTTTTAAAGACCAGGTTTTTTTCCACATGCGACATAGAGAGAAGGAGGATGTACTGGATTCAGGCTGATTGAGAGTACCTCTTTTGAGCTTTAGGCATTGCTTGTATGCAGACTTCACAGTGAACATGCCTGATTTTTCCAGCTTCCACTTCCACTTGTCTTTGGATTCTTCTCTGGTTAAGTGAGTGACCAGGATCTGTGATCTCTAGGGGAGAATGTTTGATGAACTAATTCCCTGTCCTAGGTTCTACCAGTACCTTCAAAGAGATCACACACCAGCCTGAGAGTAGAAGCATCTCCTTGAAATTGGACTGTTGGGGTATAGCAATGCACACTGGACAACCAAGGGTCTGACCACAGAAAAGTATCAGTTCCATCTCCGATTTGTCTCACTAGCCCCACTTTCAACAAGTCTACCCTGAGCGAAGAACTCCAGAGCCATGAATCTGAGGGCTTGTGCTTGACCTCAAACAGAGAAGAAGAAGGAAAATACTTTCCTTTTAGAACTCTGCTCATAAGTATGTCTGGGAAATTCAGTAGTCTCCAGAGTTGCTTTGCCAACAGAGTTTCATTAAAAGAATTTAGGCACTTGAATCCAAGACCTCCCTCATCTTTAGGTAAAGCCAGCTTAGCCCAGGAGGCCTAGTGGATTTTAGCACTTCCATCATCCTTCACTCCCCACTAAAAGGCAGCTGATTTTCTACATATGGCATGGCAAATGGATTTAGGCAACTTAAAGCATGACATGACAAATGTGGGCAAAGCTCTAATGACAGATTTCAATAAAATTTCTTTTGCCTGCTTCACCGAGAAAAACATTTTTCCAGTTGCTAAGCCTTTGGTCTACCTTAGAAAGCACAAAATCAAATGTCTCTTTTTTGGATCTTCCTAGCCCCAGGGGCAATCTTAAATATCTAGAAGATTTAACTGCAGAGATCTCAGGAATCATAGAGCACACTTCAGCAATTGTTTCAGGAGATAGAGTTTTTAGAGAAGAACACATAATATTTTTGGTAATTGGCTTGCTGACCAGAGGAGAGGCTATAAGCTTCAAGGATTTGCACAATGGAGAAATACGTTTGATTTAGTTTGTTCAAAATTGACTTATTTACTTCAATAAACAAGCCTGAACCGAGTTGTATTGGTTAACATCTCAATTCGAATACTCTATTTGAGCTCAAGTTACAACTTGCCTCCCATCGCAAATCGTTTAAGCCCATCAAGCAAACATGTTATTGGGCTTGCCCTTTTCACTCACGTTAACGGCCCAACTCAACCAGCCCATACGCCGATGCGCATCTCATGCTATAATGCGCAGGTGGCTAAACGCCATGCTCTGGGTACGGCGGACACAACTCGTGCACCTGATAGTAGAGTCAAACATCACAGAGCCACAAATATACACACACACATATACATACACATGCTTCTATATCACAAAATCCTCTCTCCTCTTCAACCAAACTCACAATCAATCCCTGCAATTAGACCAGAACTCCCCCAAATATGAAATCCCCCTAAAAGTTCTGAATGGGAGCCCTAACCCTAACCCTAGATGCATTACCGATTACTCGCCGAGATCGTCGAAATTCCGGTTGATTTGTCTTTTTCGTGAATTTCTGATTATATCCATTGTTTTCCGGTTGGATCCTGTGTTTGTTTTTCGTGATGATTGAATCAAGGGGCCGGCGGAGTTTTCTGTGCTTCATGTGATTTTCTAGATTATCGTGCTTTTTGCATTTCTGCTTTTTTTGATAGTTTTGAAATAGAGCATTACCATTAAGCCTACTGTAGTGGAGCGTGAGGGGAAAATAATGTACTATCAAGTGAGCTTAAGATTGGAGAAATATGAATTATTCTATACACTTGCAATAATCTGTGGTATAATAGGTACTGTATAAGATATTTGTTCTGATCAGTATTTGTTCTGAGAGAGGGAGATAGAAGAAAAGAGAAATGGATAGCTCTGAGACGGGAGGAGGAATGGCTGATTGCAGTGTGGGGAGTATAGTTTGGGTTCGAAGACGAAATGGATCTTGGTGGCCGGGAAAAATACTTGGACCTGATGAGCTTTCATCTTCTCTCATAACGTCTCCCCGTTCTGGAACTCCTGTCAAACTTCTCGGGAGGGAAGATGCTAGTGTGTAAGTGGAATTAATTTTAAAATTTTCATCCAGGGTTGTGAGTCTGTCTGATCTGTTGGATTCTTAGTTTTATGATCAACTTACTAATTGAGCTAAATTCGTAAAAAAAAATATTTTTGTGGTCGGAGTATGTGACTTCGATCATCAATGGGTATTCTTCAGAGCATCATAATGTGGAAGATTAACAGCTTGCCTTGATCTCTGTTAACTGTATGTTTTAACAACATGCTGATATTCTTCTCTGGTTTCTCATTTTTGTAATCATCTTGTAATGAACTGAGTCTCTTCAGGGATTGTATTGTATGACAATTTGCACACTCAAGTAAATAAAAATAATTTGTCCTTGATATCTATTTGGACTAACTGCTTAATTTTGTGCAGCTAAGTATCATATCTCCTTCTGGGTTTTGGCTGTTATCTTCTGGTTCATTTTTCTTTTTTCTTTTCTTTTTTT